ACACCAGGAGACACACGATGGACCCCGTCACCTGAAGACAGTCTATGGTCAAAGAAACAGGGGAGGACCACTTTAAACACGCCAGCAGGTTTCTTCGCTTTAGGCCTCTCAAAGCCTGAATAACTAACTGCCCATGTTGACTTTCCAAGAAAAAGGGTGTTTGTTTGCCAGGCTTGTTCATGACACAGCTTTTCATGTCCTGCCGTCTTCTCGCAGTAAGGACTGCAGCAGTGCTCTGAGGATGAGAGTCTGGCAGGTAAACAGTAGCGTTTCCTGCTCTTTATTATTGTCATTACACACTTCAGAAAAAAATTACCCTGAAGATGTTTTTTTTTAACTCATTTTGTTAGTTAAAATCAGGAATTTTTTGCTCCTTCATTTTTATTTATTTATTTTTTTTTTATTTTTTTCATCCTCACCCAAGGACATTTTTCCATTTTTTGTTCAGGTAGAGTGGCGGGGAGAGAGAGGAACAGAGAGAGAGAGAAACATCGATGTGAAAGGGACACATCGAGTGGCTGCCACCCGCACAACCGACCAGGGCCGGGGACAAACTGCAACCGAGGTACGTGCCCTTAGCGGGAACCGAACCCGGGTCTCTCAGGACCGCAGGCCGACGCTCTAACCGCTGAGCCAAACCGGCCAGGGCTGCTCCTTCATTTTTAAAATCAGGAATTTCTTTTCCCCGTAACTTTTGATCAGACTTTAAGGGAGTGTTTCTCAAACTTAAAAAAAAAATCCTCCCCAAAATTACTTATTTTCTTTCTTAACTGGGTATAGATACAAACCTATTACCAAACAAAGGTTACGAAATACTTGATTATTATTCTTATTTTATCCTCACCCGAGGACATTTTTGCATTTATCCTCAGATAGAGTGGGAGGAAGAGACGGAAAAGAGAGAGAGAAACATCGGCGTGAAAGGGACACATCGACTGGTTGCCACCTGCACGACCCCAACCGGGGCCGGGGACAAACTGCAACCGAGGTACGTGCCCTTAGCGGGAACCAAACCCAGGCCGAGGCTCTAACCACTGAAGAAAACTAGCCAGGGTTTGATTATTTAAAAAAAAATGTTTTTATTGATTTTTTTAGAGAGAGAGGGAGAGATAGAAATATTGATGTGAGAGAGAAACATCGATTGGTTTGCTGCCTTCTGTACGCCCCCTACTGGGGATCGAGCCTGCAACCCAGGCATGTGCCCTGACCGGGAATTGAACTGGAACCTACACGGGACAACACTCAATCCACTGAGCCATAGGGGCCGGGGAACACACTCGATTACTGAGGAGGATTAAGAATGGAAGAGCGCACACTCCTGGCGCGTGGGTGTAGGTGAACCACCAGTGAATGAGGACACAGCCCAGGCAGCTTCCTGCACCCTTCCAGACTCCACTGCGATTTCAAACACCAGAAGCATTGTATCTACATATTGTTTCAAGATATAGTTGTTACATCGCTTATAGTTGATATAGCACTGGCTTAAAAGAAATATTTCCTGAAATAAACTAAATCGACACGTACCTTCCCCCACAGTGCTGAAGCCATCTCGGGGTGCCGGCCACCCTCACCCCGTCAGCGTCCCCGGCTCAGCCTCGGGGCCCTGCACTGAACTCTGAAGGTAAATTTCGCTACTGCCAGGTAAGTTGTGGCTATTTCCAGCCACAGCTTCTGACCCAGTCCTCCTGGGGGCTCCTACGTGCTGCGGTTCAACCCTCGGGAACCCCTATGGTCGGAAGAGTTCACGTTGGCAAAGACAGTTTAGAAGCAGAAGACCGCTAAACCCATTTGGCTCCGGACATCTACTGCTCCTTCTAGTCTTAAGAATACTACATTCAAGGTTAAAAAAAGAGAGCAGAAGTTAATTTGACAAGGCAGGACATTCCTAGTGTGATATTTTCTGTTATAGTAAATCTTCAAGTTAAAAGTTTGAAAAGGCAGTTTAAAATAGAAATACAGACACATGGCAGCACTCGGCAGTCCAGTTAATGAACCCAAAACACAGACAGGACTTTCAACGCACATGCCAGAGGTGAGAATCCCGAGGCCATATCCCATGATGTTAGGGTCTAGAGGGGCTGCAAGTCAGAGACTTGTTAACCCAGAGCCTCGTGTGCGAGGCCAGCAGTCCAAGAGTCCCCACTGACAGAGACTCACAGCGACCCTCCCAGACACTGACCTTCCTGTGAAACAAGCACCTGCTCCCTCACTTTTATTGGCCAGTTGGCCTTCAGCACGGATCCTGGGCTTAAGCCTCGAAATCTGCTACAGACCCCAGATTAAAAAAGCCTTGGGGGACAGCACGGGGGCCGACTCGCAGGCCAGGGGACAGCCACCGACACGCGGGCTCCAGCTGTGCACGCTCCCACTGTGCACATGTGACCGGACATCTTTCCGTAGGGCTGCTCCGTCATGGCCCAAGAATATGTTCGTCCTATTTTTAAAATGTTACTTCCCCAACCATGGAAGCGTAATCTATTTATGTTGAAAATAAATAAGTATATTAAAAGAAAGCTGAGTTAAAAGTTTTATTCATTCAACATCTCACATTACAAATATTTAAAAATTATATGCATACTGGTATAAATAGTCATTTGCAAACTATTTAATAACATTAATTTTCCACTAGCACTTCAACAAATGAACTCTTTTAAAAAAGGAACTGTGTTATATAACTTAAGAGTAGAACATACAAAAATAGGAACTTAACGTGAAAATGACTTTAATAAAAAATGAATTACCCTTATTTAAAATGCTATAATAAATACTACAACCTCCCCATACACAGTAAAAACTATATGGAAATTCAGCCAAGTAGTACAATTAACTGACATACTTAAATAACTTTTCCTTCTGATAATATGAGCAATACACTGGAAAAAAAACATTAGGGATTAGTAAAAACTAGACACCCACTTGCTAAAAGTTTCACTTCCAAAAAATATAACAAAAATCTGATGAAAATTATAAAAACTAATTATACTTTAAATTTTAAAAATATAAAAAATAAAACAGTTGAATACAATATTGTCCCAATTCTTACAATGCTATCAATCACAGTAGCTTTAAAATAAGATAATAAAATAAAGCAAATGACCAAAACCTCTTTTATTCCATTTTTAAAAATAATCTCAAATTTACATTAGTAGAAAGATTGATTTCTGATTCTTTTCTTTAGAAACACCAGCAAGAAAGAGGATTACTCTTAACAGTAGAAAATGACATTTTTAAATGTCTGCAATTAAAAACAAAGAATTACACTGCAAAGATCTTTCAAAAGTTTGAAATAAGTATTGCACATAACTTGAAGTTAACTTGCCACAATTCATCACATTCAAGCTTCAAATCACCTTTGAACAGAAGATTCAACTCTTCAAAACAAAAGGGGTGAATTATCAAGTCTTTCCAACAGCACTCTCATAAAATGCTAAATTCATTCACTGCAAGTTTTATTTTGCATTCTGCAGAGGTCTGTGTATGGAGAAGTATATATGTTATACCAAAGCGTGGGGACCAGAAGGGGAAGGGAGAGGGTTCCTTTACATAGAAAATAATCAGAAACACTTTATTTTACATTGCAAAAATAACCATGTAATTACTCTGTAACTACATTGTAAGTACATGGCTGGTGCCATGCTAGTGCGCTAGAACTACATGCTTGGTAAATTGAAGTGATACCCTAAAATCTGTAAACTAATTACATGTTAATTATGTTTTGAGTTACATGGTAACTCCCAACTACAATTCCATGTAATCTGAAGGACATGTAATCGATAAAGTTCAGAGTAATAGATAATAATTGTTTATGCCCTGTAAATTGAAGTGTAACCAAATAATCTGTAAACACACTTGTCACACAATCACAAGTAAATATTAGTAGAATAGCGATTTCTTACATTAGTCATGCATACTAACATTACATACCTGTCCCACGGCAGGCTGTTTTTTTCTTTATATATAATTTAAAAGAGCAGACATCTCTGAATCAAACACTTAACATCAATTTATTAATATTAAAAATGGCTAAACATTCACCAAAAATGTCTGCGTTATGAATAATTTAAAAACTTAGTAAGAAGCTGTAGACAATTTTGTCATTTTAAATTTCTACCCTATGCTTATGCATTTAATTTTTTTTTTTTTAAGGAACTACAGTGTTATCTGTCATTTTCATGCAATTTTTTTTCATTAATTTGTGACTTTACATAGACTATCTCTTAAATTCTCGGTCCACCAATAGCTGGTGCTGGGGAAGGATGTTTAAGCAACATGCTTTCTCTTCTCTGCAGACTCTAAAATAGCATTGCCAGTGCACGACATTCATAATTCCAAATGTATGCAGAGCACTGAAATGTATAAAAAGCAGAATATAAGAAAATAAAATTTATTAAAATTATTTATATTAAAAAATGAAGTATATGAAGATCTCTCAGTAATAAAAGTACAAAAAGCTACTCTTTGCAATATGAAAAATTGAGGTATTGCATAAAGAGATATCCCGTCAGTGAAAAGTGTGCCTAAAAATGCTCACTGTTGGAAAAACAAGACATACAAAAGTAGTGCATAACAAATATACATTATGTGCATGACAAAATAAGTTAGCTACAAAAACACTGTACCGAAATTCAGCAGGTCATGTACAAAGGGAAAAATTATTATTTCAAAGCTAGTTCTCAAACAGTGTTATTTCTTGTTAACTCATCACACCTGTTTACTGAGTAGGAACAGCACAATAGCACACCCCAAGCCACCTACAAGCGTTTAAAAGAAGAAAAAGAGGCAAATGAACATTCCACTTAGAATTAAGTAGTTCAGGAGAAAAGAAAAAAGTCCCTGACCAGCTACATGAGAGCACCCTCCCTCCGCATGACTGCTTTCGCTATTTGCAGGGAATTCCTGAAAAGCAGCTCCCACTCTGTGTTGGACTACTAGACAGCAAGTGCCTCCATTTTGACCTTTGGAAGTTCACAGGTATATAGTTCATTAAAGCCTGTATTAAAAATAAAGGACTGTGTTTCCTAAATATAACCAGTAGGGGGCATCAGCCAGGTGGTTCCACCGCAGTGCTGGGGCAAGTCTTTGGTTTTGAAGGATCCAAGATGGTACTGTTAGGTAGCACAACTAGCAAGATTGCCATTAGGTTTTTTAAAAATGTTTTGCACACTGATAATAATCCTCTTAATGGTGGATAGGGCATTTAATAAGATAAAGTCAATTAAAATCAAAGTTACTTCCATGAGCAGGGCTTCAAGAGACTATTTTAAATTCACCCCTGAAGCATACTGTTCCACACATAAGAACGCCTTTCCAAGCTAGAATTTTATTTATAATAAAGCATGCATTACTCAATGAAGTTGGCACTTCAAACACTGACTATGTCCCATGCTCAGTTCTGAAACTGTAATGGTATTTTATTTTATAGGAAGAGGAAGATAAACATACGGATCTTTGCACAGATTTACACAGTTACTTAGTTCAACAGTGCAGAACACTTTGCAACTACTCAACTTTTTTTAAACTTTTTTTTTTCATTTTCTATGTTACAACTAAATTACAAGATACCCAGAGTAACTTTAAATCTAAAAGTGAGCCAATCCGCAGCCAATTTGTGAATTGATTTTGTCTCCCAGCTTGGGCTACACGTGTACGATGACACAGCATCAGAATGACATCCTTGAGGTATCTCTAGGTCTGGGCGGGCTGTCTGTGACGTCAAAATGGAAAGCAAAGGCTGACTCCTGCCGAGTGCTAGTAAATTAGGATAGAGTTTATATAGAACATTAACAATAAAATGTACCCATTTGTTCTTCGGGACAGGAAACACTAGCTTTCCCACCAGTTGTCACTAACTCTAGCTTTGGTAGGTTTCCTGGGGCTGTGACCAGATAAGTAAGTTTAAAAATAAATAAGTGCACTCCCCCTCAGTAGTCAATTTCCCCAATTTTATATTCTAAATTTTGACAATTGTTTTAAAAAAAAATAAACCTAGCTCTGCCTACCTGACTGTTTTGTTTCTGATGTGGAAGTAACTCCGAGGCAGAATGAAATGATATTCGGCCTCTAAACCCTTAAAATGAGTGACGATGCTGCTTCAATCTTGCTCATGCATTTGCGTTTGCTTCGACATGCTCTTTCCTGTCAACGATGCTAACTTCCTCCACTGCCGCTAGAAGAAGAAAAAGGGGATGGAAACGGAGAGAGGCAACAAAGACGAAAGGAAAGAAAGAAAAAGGCAGAAGCGTTTCCCTGGGGACGAACTGTCAGGATAGACTAATAGTGTTATTGTTGCATGGTTATTTTAATAAAAGTATTCTTATATGTTATATTATTAACAATAATTTAATTAAAAACCCAAAATACTCTATTGTTTCATTTCTCTCTTAACATCTCTCTCTCTCCTCTAAGAAAATGTTGCAGGAAGTTTGGATCCTCTTGCTCTGGAGCCAAACAAGAGAATAAAACTTCCAGGCAACATGATGGCGATACGAAAAAGGAGTTCATACATATTGTTTTCAGTGACACAAGAATCTACAAACACCTATATTATAGGCCATTCCTTTCATTAGACTATTGTTAGGTTACAGACTGCTACAGAGGGCATGCCAGCGTGGAGGGCGAGGAGGGGCAGAATGAACAGAAGAGTGCACTTATTCTGAGGCCTGAAAATGAGCACTGTAGTTCTCCTTTAGTTCCAGCGGAATGAAATATGTCGAGGACGGTCCCCGCCCTCCTTCACCAGGGGCTTGTGGAATTCCCTGCCAGCACGAGAGTGGATAGCAGCCCAGCAATATTCACAGTAATACTGCAGACAGGTAACATTAGCGCAGAAAAATGGAGCGAACTTTCCCCCGCAACGGGCCCCCTGACATTCATCACACAGCTGATCATCCAAGACGTATGGCTTCACTTCCACCTGCAACCAAAAATAACAGGGAGGAGTTTACACGTCCGGTGACTGAGCAGGCCACTCGCTCTTCCCCCCGTGTGTGGACCTTTCCACCTGCCGTCCGAACGACTCTGTGCCAGGGCCCCCACAATTCTCTTACTGAAATTAAGAGAGCCCATCTTTTAAGAACTCGGTCAGGTTTTTCTACCCATCATCTTACACTTTTGTCATATTAAATCAACACTTTTCAAAGGAAAAAAGAATCCAGTGAAGGCAACTGAGCATTATGAAATGAAACCCACAGGAGAGATTTCATGGCCACAAATCGGCATTTTGATTAGTGGATCTGGATGTTCATTATATGTGGCACTACAGTTTAAACAAACCCAGCTAAGAGCTTCCCGTGCCACCAAGGAGCACTTCACAGGCACACGCCGACTTCGGGGCACAGCCTCGGAGCTGCAACCCGGGCCGTGCTCTCCACCTGCAGCGCGCATCTCGGGTCGGAATCAGAGCCGAGACTCGAGGGAACAAGATGCAGCCGTGTAACTCACAGTCCAATACCTTGTGTTCTCTCGTCAGTACGGAGGGGTGACTTGAGTCTAAAAGTCAAAGGTGCACTTAGAAAACGGGGCCCGATCCAGTGTTCAACAGGCGCCCTGTCATTTGAGCCTCTGCAGTATTAAAATAACCCGGCCCTTAACGCGCCAGAGAGATGAGAGCTGGTGATTGGAGCCTCGCAGCCCCTGGCGCAGACTCTTACAGCAGACTGTCACTCCACCTGTGCCATCAGGTCTGCCGAGGAGTCCCGACAAAGGTGGGCCGTGACAACGGGCAGAGCGACATGGAAGACAGGGCAGACAGAAATACAGCGCTATTAGGCATCTGGCCCCGAGGCCATTCCAGAGATCCACAGAGAGGCAAGCGCCCTGGGCAAAGAACGGGCTGGCACAGGGGTGAAAACGAAGCCTGGCGGCCCGGTGAGCGCCTTACAACTCTGAAGCCCGCGTGGGGGTGAGCGTGGCGGTGGAGCGGTGAGGCCGGAGACGGCTTCCTCAGATGTACCCACTTTTCAGTGTGAATAAAACACAAGAAGGCACGGTAACACCCACTGTGGCTAACACGGCTGCCTTCCTCCATGCTCACAAGACAATCTACACCTTTCTCTCTACCCTGTCCACAGTATAGTGTGATGGCCCTATGACCTTGAACTCTGTACTGCCACAGACAGAATATACACGAAGAAGCCTAACAAGCTCGTGTAAGTCACTACCGACTTGGTGGCTTCTACACGATGACTCAAGAACAGCACAGACGGTCCATCCTTTCTGAGCACGAGGCCCAGAGCACTGGGTGTCCATGTCAGTCCTCAGGAAGGTGCCATCTACATGACACAAGGAGCCGACACTGAATGGAAATCGACACACTGCTTCCTCCCCGTCTAGAAGGTCGTCCTGAAGGAAGTCAGCTGAACTAACTCTGCGCTTCCTAATGTGGCTGATTCGTGCTCAGTGTCAGCTCCGCTCTCACCACAAGCTAGGAACAAACCGTTTGCCCACTGGCCGTCGGTTCCCAGATCACACTGTCTACCAGAGCATACACTCATGAGGACAGGGGCTTCTTGTTCTCAGTACGAAACACTGTTGAATGCATGGAATACAAAGATAAGAAATAAATCTGTGAATGCAAAGAAATAAGATACAGAATGGAACGTTCCAAATAGAATACATTAGAAAACAGGACAGAGCTATCTTTGAGGTTTCCCCAGCCTTTGATTCAGAAGATAAACCCCACAAAAAGGAATCTGAAGTGCTAGAAACAGGCTCACTAGCTCCTACCTAGGTTCAGAGAGCAGGGAAGGCAGCGAGGGCAAAGACTGACGTCTGCCACGTAATCTGTTCTAATGAAATATGTCTAAGACACGCAGGCCTAGAAGTACATGTATTCATTCATTTATTGCACAGTGCATTGGAAAACAGGGCTTGCTGAGGCACTCATGTGCTGGGATGGAAAACAAGGAAGTCAGGAGACCTCAAGGGCGTTCATGTTTGTATACTTGACAGACATAGTAGAAAGCATTCGGCAAACATCGAATGACTGACGAACTGAATAAATGAATGGATGTAGGTGAAAGCTTAGGAAAAGTCAGACTGGCTCAAGTAAACCGACAGTGTTCTGGTTAGGCTGCTCACAAAGCTAGGAGGTAGGAGCAATCTCAGGAATTTCTAGACGTATTACAGAACATACACTTAATTGGTCCTACAGGCCTAACTATCAGCTGTCAGTTTATTTCATATAAAATTCCCCACTCCAATCTTGGTAATGACACCTTTAAGGGCCATTGCTAGAACTTTCCAGAATGCAGTGCAGGCTTACCCGTTTATCTATCTCTCCATGCTGCAGCTGAACAAAGCGGGCACTGATAGCAGCTATATAACTCTGTTGATTAGAGAATGCGACTCGCCCAGCTCCTTTCGGGTACTTCAGCTCAGGGTCGGTGTCAATCCCAGCGTAGCACACGCCTCCGTACAGCCGGTCCATTATCATGGCGAGCTCCACTACGTGAGAAAGACGCAGAGAGGGATCTGAAACCAGGAACACTCGTCTGGCTCGCCAAAGGTTTCATCAAAAGCAGTTCATCTGGACTTGGAGCTCACGTCATTATAATAATTATTCAAGTCAAACGTTATGACAACCATTTATCCATTTATCTTTTAACTAAGGCCAGGACTCTGCTGGGTATTTTACTTATGTTCTCTTTTAATCTTCACAGCAACTCTATGAAGTAGGTAGTCATTTCCTGGGGAAACTGAGGCACGGAGAGGATGATCAATCTGTCCAAGGTCACAGGTGATTAAGTGGTTGACCCTGTCTGTCTGCTCTATACCATGTGCTGCCATATATTTACTGGCTAACAAGGTATGGCTTCATATAAATAACCATTTGAATACGAGAAAACTGATGGGTAGGCTTGTTTAGACGTTCTTCTGGCTTATTTCCATCAAAATCTTGTTACCTTTCCCCACAGCCTAGCTATTTGCCAGTTTTTCTTATAAACACTTGAAATAATGAATGCTATTTTCTCCATTATATGTTATAGTTCTGAAAGTGCATTCTTGTTCATTCTATGTTTTTTATCTTATACTATCAAACCTCAAATTAGTTGATTGGGAATGAAATTTCTGTTGTACCTACTATGCTAAAAATACGATACACTTATTTCGGAGTTCAGCAAATAGCTGATAAGCAAATGAAGACATGGGAAACAAACACTAAACATCCCAATCCGGCCACTACTCTTGAAGGCTGTTGTGATTTCTCAGATGATGATGATGACAGTGATGGTCACGGGCATTGTGAAAACTGCACTCAGCACTTTGTATCGGTTATCTCACTTAACCCTCAGACAGCTCTGTGTAAAGTAGATACACTGACTACTCCATTGACAGATGAGGAAATAGAGAATTAGAGAAGTTAAGTCATTTGTCCAAGGTCACTCAACTATTAACTGAAAGCAGAGCAGAGCATATGACTTCAAACCCAGACACTTTGATTCTAGAACTCACTCTTAGACATGAACTCAAATGCTTATAGAGAATTTATCCTGTAAAACCTTTATAAAATATTTCTTATGCTAAAGGATAAAGAGGGTTTTTTGTTTGTTTGTTTGTTTGTTTGTTTGTTTTTTATCCTCACCCGAGGACATTTTTCGATATTTTGTTCAGATAGAGTGAGAGGGAGAGAGAGAGAGAGAGAAGCATCGACGTGAAAGCAACACATCGAGTGGTTGCCACCCACACGACCCAACCAGGGCTGGGGACAAACTGCAACCAAGGTACTTGCCCTTAGCGGGAACCGAACCGGGGTCTCTCCGGACCGCAGGCCGACGCTCTAACCGCTGAGCCAAACCGGCCAGGGCTTGTTTGTTTGTTTAATCATACCTGCTCGTAATGGTCGAGGAACTCCACCAACAAATATAGTTTTCCGTGGGTCAAGAGGCTGTGAACCATCCATCACAAAGTCACTATCACTGAGATTCCAAGGCCGAATCTGTACCTAGGGAGTGTGCAAACCCAAATGTCTCATTCTCAGTAAAGGTAATTTATGGGGGAGGGGGAGTTTAAATTTGTTGCAGAGTATTTTATATTTTTAAAAGCAATAGTTCATATCATTATAAAGCAATGAAGCTATAAAACTAGAACAGATTTTAAAATAGTATATCCTAACCCTTCTTTTCATTTTTAAGAGTAAGTTGAACAAAGATGGAAATTCAATTGCCTATTATAAGCTAAATCTATTACTCAGAGGAAACTCAGCTACTTTATCAAATGCATTATCAAGTAAAATATTTTAATAATAAAGATTTACCAATATTTTAATTAACCAAAATTTCGATGTCAAAATATAGTGGAACTTCAGTTCTCAAACTTAATTCGTTCCAGAAGGCTGTTCGAGGAGCAGTTTAAAAACCAAATCATTTTTTTCCCATTAGAAAATATTCCCAGCACAATTTCCTGAGATGTTAACAGCGCAAAGTTTAGTGGTATACTGACTCATACTCGCACATTCTCTCCTTTGTCGCCTGAGAGACACATGACCGATAATAGAGGCATCAGCACGAAAGGGTTGTTGGTCAAGAACCAAAGGTTCATTTGCTAACCGAGACATTTTTTCCATGAACAACTTGGTCAAGCATCAAATTGTTTGAGATGCGAGATATTCAAGATCTGAGGTTTGACTGTAATATGCACAACTGTATAGAATGTCAATGGTAGGAGCTGGACCACAGTAACAAAACTTCATTTCCAGTCTACTTACAAATGTGTCAATGAACAAAAACATCAAGGTGTCTGTGGGTTTTTCAAACAGAGTAGAGATGGAGGCAAAAACCAGAAGCTATTCTCATGCTACAATGCACTTACTGGCTTATCTTTGATAGTGGGACTTGACACACACAGGTAGAGTTTTCCATCTTCTTCAATGCATGCGTCAATGAGCGCCTGCACAGAGCTTTCATCTTGAAACAGCAGGAATGCATAGCCTGGTGAGAAGGGAAACACGGCTTAGATGTTCTCCTAATTTTTTTTTTTGTAATTATTCAAGAGAAAAGAAACATAACTAAAACTGAAGAAGAGAAGAGTTAAAAATTTTTTAAATTAAAACTTAATATTCCTACCTAAAGTCTGATAATATCAACATTAATTTCAGTTAATTATCTGAATACATCTTTTAGAGTAAAATTAAATTAGAATTGAAAGTACATATTAGATAGAAATTTTAAAGAAGCATTTGGGAAAATTGAAGTTTAACCATGGAAAATTTTACATTGAAGGTAAACATTTAGGAAAATGCTGAACATTACATAGTAAAAGGATAATCGTACGTGCACATTGAATCTCGAGAATTACCTTTAGGAGGAAAATAGGATTTGCTCTCTGCCTTATGAGGCCAATCCACGATTAAAGGGCCAAAGCGACGGAAACTAGCTGTGATCTCATCTAACAAAACACAAAGCAAAACAGTAGATTTCAATATTTTTGTGATCATTTTTGAAAAGTCGTTTAGAAAGAAACAGTTTCAAACCTCCTATTTACAAGAGAGTACAAAGAACCCGCATCCCTTCATCTAGACTCCCCAACTGTTACTATTGTGCACATTTCCTCTTCCCCTTCCTCCTCCTTCCTGTACTTCTACCTGAGTCAAACTACCTACCGGTCTACCCACCCACCATCATCTTTTTCTGACATGATGCTCTATAACCCATAATGCAACTGTTGTTACCTGCTCGAAACCAGGTCACCTCCTTATGTACTACCATATAATCCTCCCAATCAGAGCGTCAGTACTGATACGATGCCCAAGTCACAGACTTTATCCTAATTTCAAACTAGCCCAACAGCATCTCTCTTTTCCTTTCTGATCTTTGCTATTTAGATGTCATGTCCTTAGGGCATCGGTCTTCTTCAGTTTGGGACAGCTCCTCATTCTTTCCTGTCTCTTACATGCTTGACAGTCTTAAAGTACGTGGGATGACCCTCATCCTGGCCTGCCCTGTTTCCGCGTCGCCATACTCATGCTGTGCATTCAAATAGGATTAGCACTGCAATAATGCTGTCATCCTGTCCTCACTGGCCATGTGAATCTTCATCACCTGGTCAAGCTAGTATCTGCCAACTTGGTGTGTTATCTACCAATATCACATTTCCTTAGCAACCTTGGCATGCGTTAAAGACTCCTGTCTGTACCAGCTACCACAATGACAGTCCACACCTGTTTGGAAAATACATAACTGAATTTGGCCAAGGCAGCACACTCAGACAAAAATGCAGTTCGCTCCTTCGTCTGCCCACAATGGAATCCTTGAGAAGTTATCTCAGTGATGTTTACTCTTTCTCCTTTAGTCCAATCACTTGCTTCTCCTGGTTTCCCAAGTCCTGTTCCCCCCACCCCCATCCCTTCCTACTTGAACTAATCTTATAGGCTGTGATAGGAAGACATGAAAATAGATGCAAGCAAAACACCTGGAGCCAGGTAAGAGTGCTATTACCATAACAATAACCTCTATCTCTGAGTTTCCTACTGTGTGCCAAAGTCTGGGCACTGGGATCTCGGTGCTTCTTTCTAAATATACCTTCATCGATGTCAGGAGGCAATCCGCCCACAAACACCTTGCGAGAATATCGTTCCACTCTTTCTCCATTCTGGTGAGCGAAGCAATGAGGTGAGCCCAGGCCACTGTGAAGAGGTTGATCCCCACGGCCATCATCCAAGAATCCATCTTCCATTGGAAACAGTGAAGACTGACCTGGAATAGAGAGCAGGAAAGAAAGCTAACAGAAAATGTTCCTGGCCACTGGTTATCTTGCACAACAAACAAGGCAAGCAGCTGATTCAATAAAACTTCGGCTTTTAGTTTTCTCACTGAATAACAAATAGGATCTCTGAGATATGCTTTGAATTCCCATCACCTTCAAGTCCCAACGGAGTCGGAGAGAAGGCGCGTGGTTAAACAGAGGGTTACTCAACTACCCCGCTGGGATCCGGAAACTTCAGCGTGGCAAGCGCGAGTACAGCGGGAGACAGCGCTCCTTTGAAAGCAGCTGGCAGCCTGGCAGTGCCTTGGCAGGGCCCCATGGTCGCTGGCAGCCCAGACACGCACACTAAGTATTAGATTTGACTGTCAGATGCTAGATCACTAAAACTTTTTAAAACATCCAATAATATGGCCCGCACAATCTCCTCTGCAAATGTCCTTAAAATGAATGTGTCGATTTTAAAGTGAGCACTCATCTTGGTTTACATGAACTAATGGGATACAACCAAAACCCATTAAATGCTGCTATCTAACCTCACTGTCTAGTCCAAAAGAATTTATGATTTTTAGGCATGCTACAGACATATCTTCTTTCAGTTGGGTAATAATCAGCTGCTACAGTACGATCTAATTCTAACAACTAGTCACTAAGTGATATATATTATCTAGAATATATAAGCAGAAAAGACCAGAGATGCCAGTGTTTGTATTCTTCCCATATTGACCTGACAGCAAAATTCAAACTTTGAAATCATAAGCAAACACAGAACTACAAATAAGTGCAGAATCTCTCCAGCACTGGTCAGGCTGCCGATTACTTCTAGGGCCTGCACAAGGACCTGGTTAGCGGACCCTGCAGAAATTATCTGAAGTGCTCCTCCTCTGCGGAGACATTTCCCATGTCCCTCGGTCGCCACACTTCTCTTCCTTCCAATTCTCACTACTAAGCACAAATAATAACGGTATATCTGTTACGAACTTATCCTGTCAAAAGAGCTATATAATGAAGATTAAAAAAATGACTATAAAATTGGAGGCTATTTCCTGAATCCTCTTCAAAAATCACTTACATTTGAGGCTGAGCTATTTAAAACTGTCTAACTCCCTTCCCTGTGAAAGGGCAAACAGACGACAAAAATAAGGTCCACGCAGGCACCTCTAGGAAATGATTCTTTAAAACTCTAAAATTTCAGGAGGTTTCCCCCAGTGTTTGAAATCTGTAGGATTAGCCATTTATTTAGCTAATCTCATTTTAAACCAAATGTATTATGCTGACTCGGTTTTAAAAATAAAAAAGTAGACAAGGTATTCAGGTATAATTGAACCTCTAATATAATTAGGTATTTTGAGATGATTTAGGCTGTATTTTCCTTTTTAAAGAGTCCTAATTTTTTTCTCCTTAGAATTTCCTTTCAGAAATAAAAAAGAAAACAAACCTTTAGTTTGTAAGTTGAGTTTATAATATAATATAGGGAAACTATTTTGGCTCAAATCCAAATTCTACCATTTTAACTCCTTGACATTAGAATGTCTATAATGTCAACTACAATGAGTCAAGTATGTATGAATCAAACCTACATTTCATTCCCCCACCCCACCCCTTCCCCACGAGGGTCAGAAACTGAGCACACGTGGGTCCTCTCCAAATACAAACTGTACATTCAAAAGTTAGAAACAATAATGTTACCTCTCCTTCGCCCATATGTCCTTGCTGCATGTCAAATGAGAAAAAAAACAAAAAACACAAAACACAACCTTTCAAACATTGTCAGAAGAATCAATTATGATTTCATCTACCAGCTTTTGAAATTAAAAAACAAAGGATTTGGATGGTGAGAGGTCAGTACTTTCTTTTTTAAAGTTTTTCAAGGAAACTTGTTTTAAAGGAAGCTTTTTGCTGTAACTGTCACTCAAGGTCCAAACTAGTATGAAACTAAAGGAGTATGTCACAGGATTTAAACCAATTACTACATAAATCTTATTTTCTCTCAGAATTCCCTGCTAACTAGCAATTCAGTAAATATTACAATACTTAATTCTTGGCTATATCACCACTACAGGAGAGTCATTTATACTATCTCTTAATCAATCTCTAATAAAGACTATCATAACAAATGAAATCTTTAGGCAATTGATAACCTTCCTTTTGGCCAAAGGCTTCTTGACCCTAAGCCCAGCTTCCACTATGCCCCAAACGCTGAAAAGGAAAAGGCCTGGCATTTTATTGCCAAGCAGGCTGCAGCCAAGAAGAGCAGTATACACATATACTTATAAAATTACATAGATTTCCCTGAATACTCAGAAAATGGCAGCTCAAACTTCAAATCAGAAAACTTTTGAGAAAATGTCTTCCCTGAAACAAATCGGCATTTATAAGCCCAGCCTGTCCAAATCCCTCAATTCTATTCAACAAATGTTTCTTGAATGCTTGCCTTGCTAGGCGCTATGGATAAACACACGTACCCAGACTCCACGGCGACGTAAGCAAATCACGAGAATGGAGCCTGGTTATTTGCTCTGAGTTATGTGACAGGAGCCTGTCTTATCTGCTACGAGAGCTATGTGACAGGAGCCACAGGAACAGAGGGGAGGGACAACTGGTTTTGGTTAAAGGGTCAGAGAGACGGGTGTGCGGCATTTGAGACAGACCTTAAGAGAAAAGCAGAGATGGGCACCGCAGGGTGGTGATGCTGAGACGGGTGCTGTAATGCCAGGGAAAGGTGCCCAAGACAGAAGCGGATGGAACTCGCGGGCCTGGGCTGGAGGGGATTCCGCAGGAAGGCGCGCAGCCGCACAGCTGTTATAACCGAGCTGGAAGTGTAACTCAGAGGTACCGCGTGCCTCTCCTCCCAAATGGAATCATGTCTTACAGCGAAATACATTTCTGCATTACCAGGCAACACTGGAGTACACACCAAAGTATTCGGGCAAATGGATTAAAACAACATAAAATCCCCATCAGCTGTTAGGTTTCCCTCTACTAGGTTTTAAGTTTGGGGAAGGGAAAGGTGTTCTGTTACTTAGTCAACCTGATGGAGGTTAGAAAGACAGACACCACAAAAGCAGATGCTTGTTTGAAAACAGTCTATTCAGACAACTAGCTGCTCCAAAGACGTGGGAGTTTGGGGAAATGAATGATTTGAAAAGCCAGGTTCTGTCAGTTTTAAAAAGTTGACTGATGTGGCCTGGATTTCTGAGAAAACATACTTGAAAAGAGTAAGCTTTTAAAAGCTACAAAATTAACCTAAAATCGCATGGCTTCCGTTATTTCACAATTAATACAGTTTCAGGAACAATAAGCCTGCAGATCAAAAGTGAATTCAAAAACTCCCGAAGTCTTCAAATGTGTACTTTCAAACTCTGATTTTGTACCACAAAACTAAGCTGGTTAAATTCTGATAGTAAATCCTGAAAACTATTTAGAAACATTTTCCTACGTTAAGGGAAAATCCGTTATAGGTGTACAATGTTTATAATTATAAAAACTGCCCATTTAAATAGGAAAATTAATATAAACAAGTACCAAAAATAGTGAAACAGTGACATTCTAGAGCACAGAAAATGAGAAAGTTTAACTGTCTGAGTTCCACTTATTATAATGCTGTTAACACTACACATTATTTTTAATGTAGATTTTGACATATGACATATATACGGGAAAGTACACAAATCGTAAATGTGTAGTTCAATAAAATTTCTATAACGTGAACACACATATGCGACCAGAACCCAGATATTAGCAGAACGGTCAATGGTGCCACTTCATCTTAGGATGAAAACATTCGAAACACCTTTTCCTAACCAATTTCAAATGATACTCGGCGCAAGCACATTATGAAGAAATACTTGTAACACAGATAAATCCTCATCACTTTCCTGAGGAATCTGTCATCAGATTTTCAATCTCGTGATTATCAAGTGTTGTATATCTCTGATGATTCTTAAACATCCAGGGCAGTAGCAAGTAAAAAAATTACTTTATGTTTAAAGAAATCTACATTTGGAAAACTTCTAGTGAAGTCAGCTGAAATAAACCGCTCAGAATGTTCCTTCAATAACCAAAGAGTTACACTGTTAAAAGATTTCAAAAATCTTCTAGTCCCCATCAGTGTTGAAATGAATAGTATTTTTATGTTTATCTACTTTTATTTCTATGTCTTAGTTTTAATTAATAAAGTCCTTAATAATTTAAAGTTTAGTACTCACATGATTCAAGAAAGTTCTAAGTGGTGTGGTGAAGGCCTGGGGAGGGGCAGGGGCTGGCTGAAGGGGGACAAAGGGGAGAAAATGGGGGATATCTGTAATACTATCAACAATAAAAAAATAAATAAATAGAAAAAATTTTCTAAATGGGCTGGAAGATTTATAGCTACAAGTTTTTATGCCTTCTGGATGCATGTTGTTATGAGACCTATTAATTAATACTTAACTTCTAAAATGTCTTTATAGGTCTGCTTACAAATGCCCTCTATTCATCATTAAATTCCCTCAAGAAAAATATTCCACTAGTTTGGGATACTATACTTACAAAGAAGGTACAGAAAGACTTAGGTCTTTTCTCAATGTACTACATATAGATTTCATTATATACAAATATACAATATATAAATATATACTATATGTATTTCATTATGAAAATATTTATCTCTTAAAAGTATCTTTGTTCTCATTTGTTATAGTAAAAAAAGAAACCAAATGCCTGTAATAGTGATTCATTCATAAGAAGAAATACATAGTATGTAGCCACTGAGAAAATTCACAGGTATCCACCTGCTGGTACTAAAGCTAATAAGACGTAGTTTGCATGAGGTGCCTGAGTGTGTAAGATTCTAACATGTAAATCTGAAAATAAAGAAAATATAAATACATGTGGGGATGTGCATAAATCTTTTTTTCTAGAAACAACCACAAGAATCTTTGGGGAGAGAAACTGGGATGGGTGGGGAAAGAAAGAAGGATTTTACTTCTTGTTTTATCCCTGTGTATACTAT